GCCCCAGTAGCCCCAGTAGCCCCCAGTAACCTCAGTAGCCCCAATAGCCCCAGTATCCCCAGTATCCCCAGTATCCCCAGTACCCCAGTAGCCCCAGTAGCCCCAGTAGCCCCCAGTAACCCCAGTATCCCCAGTAACCCCAGTATCCCCAGTAGCCCCAGTATCCCCAGTAACCCCAGTACCCCAGTAGCCCCAGGCTCCCCAGTAGCCCCAGTAGCCCCAGTAACCCCAGTAACCCCAGTAGCCCCAGTAGCCCCAGTAACCCCAGTATCCCCAGGCTCCCCAGTATCCCCAGTAGCCCCAGTAGCCCCAGTAGCCCCAGTATCCCCAGTAGCCCCCAGTACCCCAGTATCCCCAGGCTCCCCAGTATCCCCAGTAGCCCCAGTGCCCCCAGCCCAGGTTGGCAGCGGGGCCTCCAGCCGTGGCTGCGGGCAGCGGCTCGGCCCCCACGCGGTTCCCAGCCGTGGAATTTTGGCAATTCCTGGAGCTCCGATGGCCGGAGCTGGAGCCCGGTCACCCCGGGCATGTCCCCCCGCTGAGAGCCACCACCGGGCACCCCTCAAACCCGCACGGGGACACGGGGGTGTCCCCAAACTGGGATTATTCACCCCGAATTCCTGGGGGGAGAGGGGACGCGAGGGGAAAAGGGGGGTCCGGGCCCCCGCAGGAAGCGGGGCTGGGGCAGCGCCGGGGGAAGAGCAGTGGAAAGAAAAGTCAGCGGGTGGAGGCTGACTCAAAATTGCCCTTGCGAGAGGGTGAGGAATAGAAAAAGAAAGAGAAGAAAAAAGGAAAAATAGAAAGAGAAAGAAAAAAAATAGAAGAAAAAAAAAAGAAGCCAGAAAAAGACAAGAGAAGAAAATGAAGATTAAGAAAAAGAAGGAGGGGGAAAGGTAGAGAAAAAAATAAAAATAAGAAGAAAAAGGAAGAGAAAAATGAAAAATAACTGAAAATAAAAGAAGAGGAAAAGTGAAGAATAATCAGGTGGAGAAGAGAAAGAAGAAGATAATGACTAAAACCAAAAACATGAAATAGTAAAAATAAGAATGAAAATATGATAAAGAAAACGAAAAAGTAAAAGATAAAGAGAACGCTAAAGATACAGAGAAAGATTAGGATAAAAAGAGAAGCAGAGAGAGAAAGAAGCGGAGAAAGCGGCAGCCGTGGCGAGGAGCTGCACGTGCTCGGGACCGGCGCTGGCCCCGAGCATCCCGGAGCCCCGGGGACCCCCGAGCCCCCTTTTCCCCCGGTGTGCCCCGAGGGGCCGTCCCGCGGGCTCACATCCTCTGTGCAGCGAGCTCCGGGCGGCCGCGCTGGGGCAGGGGCGCTCCGGCCGCTGAGAAAACATCGACCGCATGAAAAACCACCGGGGAGCCGCCGGGGCACCGGCCGAGGCGCCGGCTACGGGCGGGCCGAGCTCGCAGCGCGGCTGCTGCACCAGCCCCAGCTCTGCAAGGAGCGGAGAGTTTAAAAACAGCTTTTTTTTTGGGGGGGGGTTGGTTTTTTGGGGGTTTTTTTTGCCCTCCGCTCCCACAGCGAGCTCCCCGGCGCTGCCAGCGCAGCCCCGGCGCTCGCACGCTGCCGCCGCCGCGGGGAAACCGCACGGGCCCGGCCGGGCACGGCAGGGTGGGGGCAAAACCCCAAACCGCGCTCGCCTCGCCTTTATTTTTAACCCCCGTCGGCGCTCGAGGCAGGATCGGGCTCGGGCACTGCGGTTTGGGAGGTGCCCTCCCCCCAAAAACAGCGGGTGGGCACCGCCGGGTTCGCCCTCGGAGGTTTTGTCCCGGCGTGACCCCCTCGGTTCGCGGCGGCGCGGGGACACCGAAGGGACAGCGGGGACACTGGGGACACGGGGAGGGTGTCGGGTGCGAGGGAAGGGGTGCAGGGGTCAGAGCCTCCCCCTGCCCCGGCGGCAGCGCGGGGACCGCGGGAGCCACCGGGGCCGCGTGGGACACGGGCCAGCCCCGCTGCACGGCGGGCACGGGAGGGGTGGGTGGCATGGCACGGTGGTGGCACGGCAGTGCAGGGCACGGTGACATGGTGTGGTGACAGAGCGATGCATGGCATGGTGACATGGCACGGTGGTGTCACACCAGTTCACGGCACGGTGACATGGCGTGGCTGCTGGACACGGTACGGTGACATGGCACAGTGGTGACACACCAACACATGGCACAGTGACATGGCATGGCTGCTGGACATGGCGTGGTGACATTGAAAGGTGACACACCAGCACATGGCACGGTGACATGACATGGTGACACACCAATGCATGGCACAGTGACATGGAACAACTGCTGGACGCGGTACGGTGACACGGCACAGTGGTGACACAACAACGCATGGCACGGTGACATGGAACAGCTGCTGGACGTGGCACGGTGACATGGCAATGCACGCCGTGGTGCCACAGCACGGTGGCACAGCTGGACGAGTCCCGGTGACGCCGGTGGCACTGCTGCCTGGCACGGCACATCTGCACAGCACAGCTGCACTGCCCGCATGGGTGACGGGGCACAGCTAAAATGTCACAGCGCAGCCGGGCACGGTGACAAGTCACAACATGTCTGCACCGACCCCGCCGAGCTGCCAGCCGGGCACAGCCACTGCCAGCCCGGCAGAGCCATCCCCAGTGTCCCCAAAAGGCGCTGCCACCTCTGCTGTCCCTCCTCAAATCAAAGCCACCCGCTGGACTTTGTGTCCCCAAAGCCACCCCAGTGTCGTCCCCGAAGGCAAAGCCATCCCTGTGTCCCCAAATGCAGACGGAGCCCTGCAGCCCCCAAAAGCGAGGCTGTGCCATCCTGAGCCACCCCCGAGTGCAAGGACAGCCCTTGTGTGTCCCCAAATGACAGGGATAGCCCCTGTGTCCCCCCGAAACGCAAAGCCAGCCCCTCGTGTAACCCCAAAACACAGCGCCAGCCCTTGGTGCAACCCCAAAAGCCAGAGCCAGCCCCTGCGTCCCCTCAAAACGCAAAGACGGGCCCCGTGTCACCCCAAAGGGCAGGGCCAGCCCCTGTGTCACCCCAAAACTGCAGAGCCAGCCCCGGCCCTGCTGCAGAACCCCAGGGCAGGAATTCCCCGTGCCCGTCGCTGCCGGGGTGCCGGCGAGCCCTTGGGGCTTTCCGCAGGAATCCTGCCCTGCCCAGCCCCGAGAGCGCGGGGACACAGCGGGGACACAGCGGGGACACAGCGGGGACACAGCGGGGACAGGCGTGGGAAACCGGCCGGGAATGGTCCGGACCGGGATGGTTGGGGGGGGGTGGCCCAGGACAGGGCGGGATGGCTCAGGATGGCACGGGACAGCTCAGGATGGCACGGGACAGCAGGAACGGTGCCAGCAGGGTCCATCCCAGTGCCTGGCCAGCTTCGCCCCGGTGCCACCACGTCCCCCCCAGCCTCAGCTCCTCCCCGGGGGTCCACGGGGGGGGCTGCACCCCAACAGTGCTGAGGGAGAGGCGGGATGGGGCTGCAGAGCCAACAGCGGGATGGGAACGCGTCCCCTGCCCTGCCCCAGAGCCCCCCGGCCTGGCAGGTCCCCGTTTTGGGGTTCAGGTCCCCTCCTCGGGTCCCCGTTTGGGGCTCAACGTCCCCCTGGAGCCCCGCTGGGGTTTTTCCTGTCTCAGCAGCGCTGCAGCCCGGCCCTGCACGCTGCAAAAGCAGCTCAGGGTCGGGGGAAACGGATGTTCTGTGGCTCTGGGTTTGACGCTCTCCACGGGCTTGGGCTCGCCGTGAGCCCCCTCTGCACAGAGCAACCCCCCCTCAGCCCGCAGCCCCTCCATCGCGGGGCATGGAGCTGGGAAAAAACCCTAAACCCGCCGGCTTCAGGCTGGGAGGTGAAAGCAGAGGCGCAGCGGGGCAGGGGGGATGGGATCTGTGGGGCCACCCCAATTTCCAGACCCTCAGCAGCAGGTCCTGACACCGCAGGGGTGACACTTCCCCAGCACCCAGCCGGGAAAGAGCGGAGGAAAGAGGGAAAAAAGCAGAATTTTGGCACATTCCTGCAAGGCCTGAGGGATGGCGGGCGACAAACAACAATTTGGGGTGCCCTCCACCCCTGCCACCCCCCGGGGACGTGTCACCCCACCCGTGCCGGCGCGGCTTGGCTCGGAGCGGGGCCGGCACGGCCGTGGCAAACCGAGCGGCCCTAACGTGTTTAGACTTCCAGCACATCCAGCAGGTCGGGCTCAGCATCGAAGTGACACCATCTGCCTCCCGGCCGAGCCAGCCGAGGGGCGCCGGGCAGAAAGGGACCCCTGGGCGCGGGGATGGGGCTGGGCAGGGGGGGCAGCGCGGCAGGAGGGGTCTGTGCCAGCTGCCGAGGGCACAGCGGGGGAGGCAGCCCTGCTGCCCCTTGGCACGGCGTTTTGGGGGCCCCTCGGGGGGATCTGGCGGCGGCGGAGCTGTGTGTGATCCCTGCTGGGATCCCGTTCTCACCGAGACCCCCAAAGTGCAGCCCAGGGTGGGGTTCCCCTCGTCCTCATCACCCCAGGGTGGGGCTGAAGGACGGGTTCAGCATTTCGGGCTCCCCTTGCTGCCAAGTTGTGGCGACTCCACGGCCCCACAGAGCACCCAGAGTCCCCAAACTGGGGTTTGGCAGACACCCCAAAAATCCCCCAGTCCTCTCCCAGCCTCGGGCAGCTGCAGCCCAGCACGGAGGGGACAGCGAGTGCCCGTCTGTGGCGTCACCCAGGACATTTTTGGCAGCCAGGACGTGGCCAAAACGCTGCCCCTTCCCTGGGCACACGTGGGGCGGCCGGGCTCTCTCTGCCCCACAGAGAGGGGGGGTCCCACCCCAGCGAGGGGACGGGGAGAGGACAGGGTGTCACCCACCACCCTCCCACGGCGCTGTGGGGTGGCAGCAGCTCCTTGCCACTTGTTGCAGTGCCGAGCTCCGGATCCGGCCCGTGGGCTGGGGCCGGATCAAAGCAGCCAGCACCTCTGCCACCTTCCTGACACCGAGGGTCCGGACCCCCCTGTCCCTCCCTGGTACACGTGGGGACACCCCCAGACCCTTTTCTCCTTCCCACAAGCCTCAATCCCCAGGGCAACAGCACCAGGGGACGTCTGGGATGCTTTGCCTCCCCCTCGCAGGCTTTTCTTGAAACCCAACACGGGACGGGGCTCCCCCTCTTGCACCCCCAACTGCACAAACACCTCCCACCCTTCCAGCCCGTTGGGGATACGAGGCAGGACCCCTCAGCCCCTCACCGTGCCAGCCCCCCGGCTTGTCCCACCCCCCTCACTGCCGGTGTCCCCACCGGCAGCTCCCGGTCCCCGCACACCCCGGTCCCGCCGATCCCCCGTCCCCCCCCGTCCAGCCCACCGCAGTCCCCTCCAGTCCCTCCCAGTGCCCCGCCGCCCCCTAGCCCCGCTTTTCCCCGGTGCTGCCCGGCTCTCCGGTCTCGGCCCGGAGCCGCCCCGGTTCTCCCGGCTCACCTGCCCTGCTTGGTGATGATCATCTCGGTCTGGTGCTTGTGGAACTTGGCCCAGAGCGGGTAATTGTTGAGCATCACCTGCACCTTCCCGGCCGCCCGGTACCCGGGCAGGGCACAGAGCGGGGGGCACAGCGGGGCCCCCCCGCCGCCGAAACCGCCCTCGGCGCCCGCGTAACCTTCCACCGGCCCGGCGGGAGGCGGCGGCGCCCGGTACGGCGGGCACGGCCCCAGGAACCGGCCGCCGAAGCCGCCGGGAGCGCCGTAAGGCAGCGGGGGGGCTCCCGGTTCCGGTCCCCCTCCATCACCGAAGAAAGCGGCGGCGGCGTCCCGGGGGCCCGGCGGCTCCTTGGCGAAGCTGGCGGCGGCGCTGAGCATGGGGGCGGCGGGCCGGGGGGCTCCGGTGCCCGGCTCCAGCGCGCCCATGGACGGGCGGGGGGCACCGGCCCCGCTCAGCCGCTCATGGGGGTCCCCGCCGGCGGCGGCCCCGGGACGCGGCGCCGCTCAGCGCTGCCCGCCTGAACCGGCTCCCGCCGCCCCCTCCATGCCCGGTGCTACCGGGGGAGCCCCGAGCGGCGGCGGTCCGGGGACAGCCAAAAGGGAGAGGGGGCGAAAAAAACCAACCCCGCAAAAAATACCCTAAAACAGCCGGAAAACCCCTAAAAGTGGCGTGGGGGGGCTCCGTGCCCTGTGCCGGTGCCGGTGCCGGTGCCTCACACGCTCCACCTGCCCATCCCCGCGGCCCCGCGCTCTTATCCAAAGAAGCGGCTCCGCACCGGGAGCTCCGCCCTGCAAGCCCTCCCCACCCCCGAGCGGGGCGGGCCGGGGGCGGGGAGGGGGCCACGCGGGACCGCGACACGCGGGGAGCCGGGGACGGGACGGGGGAGCGGGGGTGGGGACACGGGAGGGGACAGGGACAGTGTGGGGACGCAGTGACAAGGGGGGGCCACGCTCCTGCCCGTGTTTCGGGGTTTTGGGGGACACAGGGAAGGGACAATTCGGGCCCTCCCCCGCCCTGGTGTCACTGCGGTCACTGCTGGGGGGGTGACACGCCTGAGAGGTGGCGCTGACAGCTCGGCGCCTCCTGGTCCCCCCTCCCCTTGTCGGTTTTGGGGTGGTTTGACATCCCCGTGAAGCTCAGCCGAGCCGTGCCACCCCCCGTGCCACCCCGTGCCACCCCCGTGCCACCCCGTGCCACCCGAGGCCAGGCCTTCCCGGCACCTGTCCTTGACCCCGCCGTGCCCGGGGAAGTCCCGGTGTCCCCCGGAGCCATCGCCGAGGCGTTTGGCCTTGGCCGCTGCCCAGCCCGGCTCCCGTCAATACTTTCCATTCCCGGTGGCTCGGTGACACCCACACCGCGCAGCAGGACGGGTGGCACTGCCACTGTCCCCTCTCCTGGCAGCTGGGCACCTTCCCGACACCGCCGGGACACCCCTGGGGCTGGGGCGGGCAGGAGGAGAAGGGGGAGCCGTGGGTCGGTACCGAACCCACACCGGAACCACTCCCGGGATCAGGGTCACGGGTGGGGATCCCCCGGGGACAGCGGGGTGGGGACGGGGACAGGGATGGGAATGGGGATAGAGGTGGGGACAAGGAACAGGAATGGGGACAGGGATGGGGATTTGAACAGGAATGGAGAAGGGGACATGGACAAGGAACAGGAATGGGGACAGGGATGGGGACAGAGATGATCTCTCATGATTGGAGATAGGAACACGGATGAAGATGGCAGAGGTGGAGATGGGAACACAGCTAAGGATGGGGACAGGGATGAGGATGTGGCCCGGGACGGGGACGGGTCAGCCACAGGGACAGGGATGAGGACGAGGAATGGGGACAGCCCGGCTGGGGGCAGGAGGAAATGGGGAGTTAAGGAGGCGGCCGTGGGGGGCGGCCGGGCGGGAGGACGGGCCGTGGGGCCGGGGCAGACGCGGGGGGCTCGGGGGTGTCCCGGGGGGTGTGGATTGGCCCAGCAGACGCAGCTTAGCGGCCACTGGGGCCGGCTTTGCAGCGCTGCCGTTGTTCAGAGGGGTCCCGGCCTTCAATCTCTATGCAAAGCCCCCCCTGCTGACCCCCCCCACACTTTTCCGGCTCCATGAGGCTGGCAGGGGGGACAACATCCCCCGTTCAGCTGTCCCCACCCTCCCGGGACACCCCCAGACCGCCAGGGCGCTGCCACCCCCTCCCCACCCACCGAGCTCTCAAGTGAGGAAAAGAAGGAAAACAAGGAAATTTCCAGAATTGTTTTTTCTAGGAGGGAGCATAAAGGCCGGAGGGGGGTTAAGGACGGGGGGAGCGACTCATTAACGGGGGGGGAGCGAGCGCTGAGGCACAAGTGCTCCTAACGTCACGGCGCGCTAATTCATTCCCGTTTTGCCATCGCCGCCGAGGATGAATTCACAGGGACACCCCCCCGCTGAGGGACCAGCGCCGTGGCCACCCAGAGGGTGTCGGGCTCGCCAGTGTCCCCAGCGCGGCCGCAGCTGGGGACCCGCCACCGCCACCCCGCGTCCCCCTCGCCCTGAGGGTCCCGGTCCTGGACGGCGCCGGCAGCGGGGTCCGGAGGGGCGCGACAAGGAGCGTGGTGGCCCTGTCCTCAGGATGTCACGCCCTTGAGTCTCCCCCTGCCACGGTAAAGTGACACCAGGGACACTGGAAGGCGCGGCGGGACTCCTGGGGAGATGGTTGTCACAAGTGTCCCCGTGCAGGGAGGACTCGCGCAGGGCCGGGAGGGACGGGAGGGGACAGAGGGACAGCAGGGACAGAGGGACAGGAGAGACAAAGGGACAGGAGGGACAGGAGGGACTGGAGGGGCAGGAGAGACAGAGGGACAGGAGGGACTGGAGGGACAGAGGGACAGGAGGGACAGGAGGGGACAGCAGGGACAGAGGGACGGCAGGGACAGCAGGGACGGGAGGGACAGAGGGACAGAGGGACGGGAGGAACGGCAGGGACAGGAGGGACAGGAAGGACAGAGGGACAGGAGGGACAGAGGGACAGGAGGGACAGGAGCCGTGTCCTGAGCATCACCTTGACCGGCCACCAGCTGTCCCATTGGCCGGGGACAGGGATGCTCTGGGACATCCCGGACACCCCTGGGACACAGCGTCCCTTGGGATGGGGCGCTCTGAGCCTGAGCTCGGCCCTCCACCAGGAGAGACCACCGGGATTTGGGCTCCAGCCCTCCCCGCAGCGGGGCGTCCTCCCCCGCGGGGCCCTTCCAGAGCTCCGGGACCTGCTCGGGCTTAAATCCCCTCCTTCCCCAGCCCCGTGCCTCAGTTTCCCCTCTGTGGGTGACACACACGTCACACATCCGAGCGTCCCCGGGGTGGCCGAGGCCAGCACCTTGTGGTCGCCGTGCCCGGTCCCTTCTGGCCACCTTCGTGGCTTTGGCACTCGCCGGACGCCCTCGCAGAGGGGCCAGGAGGAAGTGGCTCGGCTGCAGGACACGCCCGGGGCTGGCGACACGTTTGTCACCACGGGCCACCTCCCTTCCAAAGTGCCAAGCCCGTGCCCGTGCCCGGCAGCATTCCCGGGATCCCAAACATCCCTGAGCCCAGCCTGGCATCGCCCGTTCCTCAGTTTCCCCCATCCCTGGGGTCTCCAGCGCCGGGATGGGGGTTGGACCCTTGGTGGGGGGATTATCCCGGATTTCCCCGTCACCTCTGGGGAATGTCGCATCCTACACGGCCCCGCTCCTGGGCATCGTCCCCAAAACCCCGCAGAGGGACTGGGCAGAGGGTCGCACCCAGCCGGGGCTGCAATTCTGAAGTCTCCAAAGTGTCCCCAAAGTGTCCCCAAAGTGTCCCCTCCCTCCAGGCCAGCCCCCGGGCAGGTTCTGCCTCTGCCATGGAAGGACGCGGCAGGAATTTGGCTTCTGGGGAACGAGGGGAAACTCGGCGGTAATTTTCTTAGTCAGTGGCATTGTTCCTGTTTTCATTATTAAAATGAGCACGAGGGCACCGGGCACCAGCGGGGGCTAAATTTGGTCTCAGGGAAAACCAAAAATACTGCCCCCACCCCAGAGGAATTTGCATCTCGCTGCTGCTCGAAGGCAGCGCGGTGACGAGCGCTTCATGGAAACCTGAATTGCAAACCGCAGGGCCCCCGGGCCGGCCCGGCCACCTGCCACCCACCCGGGGC